TAGCGTAACTCCATCATTAAATTACATTAGTTTTCAAAAGTTGTAATCAAAGGAAATGCAAAAAATATATTTCCATTGATGTTGGTAATTATAGCGATTAAAAATGTGAATGAAACTTAAAGGGGTCATATGATGTTGCTAAAATGAATGTGGTGTAATGAAATGTGTTTATGCGGTTTAAAGTTAAAAAAAAATTATTTTCCACATACTATACATTATTGTCTCTCCTCTATGCCCCGCCTTTCTGAAACGCGTCGATTTTTACAAAGCTCGTCGGTCTGAAAAGCGAGGTGTGCTCTGATTGGCCAGCTATCCAGTGCGTTATGATTGGCCGAATACCTCAAGTGTGTGACGGAAATGTTGCGCCCCTAACCATACTGTGATGCCCTTTCCAGCCGGAGCGACGATTCAAAAACATTGAAAACCCATTACAAACGAGGCATTTGTTGCATCCAGTGGGGACATAATTACGGATTATAATGACTTATACTGTCTTTTTACGTAATGCATTGCATCGCGCCGCGTCAGAGTCAGAACAGCCGGCATTGTAGTCTACTCTATCAGGATCAGGAAACAGTCCTCCATAACATGTACTGCACACATCTGAATATTTGGGTTGAACTGTTCTGGAACAGTGTTGTAAATACAACTTAACCACTGATTTCTAGTCGTGTCCTCTTTTGGAAGACCAAACAAAGTAGTTTCGCTTTCACAACGAAACACAGCGTCACACACCGCGGCCTTGAGTGAGCGGCATTATTTGTCAGAACACCGGCAGCTAGAGTGAGGAACGGCCAGCGGATTCGACGAAGGAGCGGCCGGTGGGCTTGTGGCAACCACATGTGACGACCCCGGGCTGGACTCCGCTTCATCCACGGTGAAAGCCGATCCGGCGATCCACAGCGCGAAGTTGATGTATTTCCTCAGCGACCAGCACGGATCAGCTCCAGGCATGACGAAGCGGATATCATCCTCTTTTGGAAGACCAAACAAAGTAGTTTCGCTTTCACAACGAAACACACAGCGCCTTCACGACATGGCGACAGCAACAATACTACAGCCAGGACCGGCGCGAGCTCAACTGCCACTCTAGGCAAAACCCTACCGTGCCACCCCCACTTCACATTCACAATTAAACATGATCTTTAAGATGCACGTGAAAGACTGGAGATTGTTTATTTGTACAACTGCATTAAAATAAAGTAGACACGGGCGTGTATTCTGATTATTATATTTTTTTCCTACTGCAACGTAAAAAAATCAATTAATAAAAAATAACCACTAGTATAGCTGCAAAAGCAAATTAAGTGTATGTACATGCCTGAAGTGGCCATGGGAAGATTTGGAAGAATTCCTGGTAAGCAGCTCGACAAACGTTCAGGACACGGAAAGCACAAGTCTCTGTAGTTCATTTTCACTAAGATACATAGAAATCTGTTCAAGCCGTGCTCGTACAGCCGAAATTCCTATTCGTAGTCAGGGTGTAATTTGAACAAGTTGGGTCAGGGTCCCAAACTCCACCGCAGGTGACTGTGCCGGTCCCAAGCCCAGATAAAGGAGGAGGCTTGGGTGGTGGGGTGCAGATACTGCCACCTGTAAAAGAAACAAGACAAATTAAATCCAATGCACAATGACAACCAAACAAACAGGAACACACCGGCTCGGACGTCGCCCAGTTATACAAGGTCCACGTCCTCAGCTGGGAAACCTGGGCTGGGTTGAAAAGTTAGCTACCGGAGTAGAAGGAAAAGGAGAAGGAGAAAAGAAACTCAAAGCAGCAATAGACTTCCTGAAGATAGGTACATGGAATGTACAGACTCTCAGAAGTCCTAGCAAACTGGAGCTGTTACGTAAGGAAATTACACCATATGAGTGCGATATATTGGGACTATCAGAGATGCACTGGACAGGTGTGGCAGAGCTGAATGGAGGAGAAGTGATTTGGTCAGGAGAAGAGAAAAATCACATGAGGGAAGTTGGTTTCTTGCTTAGCAAGCGAGCGAACGATGAGCTACTCGGGTATAACCCTGTAAACTCTCGTAACATAGTGGCCAGGTTCAACGGATCACCTCTGAACATTGCAGTGATTCAGGTTTATGCACCAACTTCAGACAGTACCGAGGAAGAGGTCGGAACGTTTTACGGGCAGCTGGAGCACCAGCTCATCGAGGAGTTGCCAAAGAAGGATGTGAAAATTGTGATCGGCGACTGGAATGCAAAGGTTGGAACGGATAACGTGGGCTGGGAGCAGGTGATGGGGTGTCACGGCTATGGACAGCGCAATGATAGAGGGGAACGGCTTCTGGAATTTGCGTCTATGAATGATCTACTGATCACCAACACCAGATTCCAGCAGAAGGACAGCAGGAAGTGGACGTGGATGGCACCCAATGGCAAGCACACCAACATGATCGGCTGGTAGACAGGAGATTCCAAGGATCAGACATCTCCTCAGACCACAGTTTGGTGATTATAATGGGAAATATACTTAATTACAAGAATTAAAGTGTGACAAACTGCTAAATATTCTATATGATGATTTACCTGCTGGCTTTCTGGAGCTTTGTATTCATGTTTGCAATGTTGAACTGCCTTTAGCAGCCTCCCTTTGCTCTTTCTCTCTGTCTCTGTCTTCTTCTTTTGTGAAGGCATTTTTTTTTGTCTACAAAGTGTGCCAACAACAGCAAATTTTGTGTTATTTATATTAGATCTGATCGGGAACAATAATTTGATTAGACATTCTAATTCCAAGACCGTGGATATTTTGACTGAGAGCAAAACATTACCGACAGAAATACAGAAACAAACGACCAAATTACTAATTCAGCGAATCATCCACTGACTATGATTGTAATGCATATACCTGTTAATGCAACAACATTGGGAACTGTGGTCTCCACTCCAGAGAGCAGCACCCGGATCGTGAGTGATGCTGCGGAGCAGGCGGGGAAACACGGAGCAAATTAGCGGAATCTTTAGCAGAGTGGGAACAGACCGCTTTGAGCTGGGGTGATGGTGAGAGGGGCAACGCAGCCGATGAGGGCAAAGGGGCAGTGGCTCTAGTCACCGGGCCACCCCCCTATGCATGGCCCTGGTTTGCATGTGATATTGACGCCGCTCAGGTGGGGCACAGCGCGGGAGCGGCATTACTATGAAACTTAATTTAGAGTTAATTTAGAGTTAGAATAACTAAGGGGTGATAACTTGCTGATATGAGTGCAATAATTCCAAAGACTGCCCAAAAGATAAACTAAAATCTCTGTCCTTTTTGCCGCCCTAGTTCGCCTATATGCACGCGCCGGCCCTGACTACAGTGAGAATAAAAGTTAGGCCTTCTTTCTTTGCGTGAACATTTGGGCGGTGTTATGCAAATCTTCCCACATCGTGACGTAGACATGTGGGGGCATGTTTAAACAAGCCGTTTTAGGTAGGTGTGGCTGACTCTTAACTTTTATAAAGAATATCTCTTTGGATTTGAGACTTTAGTCTTTGCAACTGTACAGATCTTCTTTATGCACCAAGAGCTTGTAACACTTCAAAGAGAAAGGAAAAATTGAAATCGCGTCGTATGACCCCTTTAATTAAATGTGTCCTGTCATGGTGGAAAAGCAGACTAACGAAACAATGCTATATCCCGCTAACAACCCCCAAATAAAAGTTCTCAGGAACTTATTTTTTATTACATTTACATTTACACTTTTCTGACCTAGAGACTTTTCTTTGGATCTTCTGAATTAGTAAATCTCTGTTTTAATAAAAAAATACACTTAGAGAAACTTGATGAATAAATTAATGTTGTTTTACACAATGCTACCTCTGTGTGTAAAGCAAAGGCACATATCACCTTGTGAAGAAAATAACTTTCAAGTTTTAAAATATGACAAAACAAGAAGTGATTTTAGGCCAGGGTTTCTGTTTCAGTAACTACATTTAACCAGCTTATCTCTGCTTGTTTTTTCCACAATATCTCTTGATAATTACTGAATGATATAATTATCTCTTGAAAATCGCGTATTTTCTTGCCCAATAAGGGTTGGTGTTAATATATTACCTTCGGGGTTTGTTTAACGCACATAAGAAATTCCCCACGCAGATCACACAAAACATGACTCAAGGCCATATCTTGCCACATACGAGACACAGGGCTTGTCTGTTTACTATACTTTACAGTCTGCGATCAAAATGCATTCACTGTTAAATAGAGTATCCCTACTAAATACAATCAGTATCCCACGGAAAAATATGAGTGTTTCTTTTATAGTCCCATTTAAACCCACATCCTGTTTAAGATCACAGCTGCTGGGTGTGTGTGCGCGAGAAAGAAGTTACACAATTTTGGAAGATGTAGGAAAGATGAGGTGATTTTAAATAGATTACAATTTGGGCACACAGGACTAAATGCATCACTATACAAAATAGGTAAACATATTACAGGTAAATGTGCTTTTTGTGGGGTAATGGAAACCGTTGAACATGTAACATTAAAATGTCGGAAATATAATATAGAGAGAATTAAAATGATAAAGAACTTAAAAGGTAATAATAAAGAAAAAAAGAAGATAAATTGGATATTAGGAAAAGGATTAAAAAAAAGCTATTAATCAAAGAATAGTAATGAAATACATAGTAGAAACAGGATTAAATAAACGAATTTGATAGTTAATTAATTAAATAAATAAATAAAGCAAAGGAATAGGGGAACACACAAGCTGGGTTTTTTGGCATGGGAGCTGAACACGCAGCAGCCAGAAATGCAGCTTGGGTGAACCCGAAATAAAATTAACAATAAAATAAAAATAAATAAATAAAATATGAATAGAGGGGGGAATATCATCCATGTATGAATAGAAACAGTTGGTGGCGGTATGTGGCTATGGTGCGGAATACGCCAACAAATTCCAAAGAAAAATAAGAAGTGTGTGCCCGAGCCAAACGGCATTTTCATTTTGACCTCAAAACCCTGTTGCACATCTGGGCGGACGCGCATGCGCATCAAAACTAGGTGAACTACCCGAACTCGCAAAGAACTTTTCAAACAATTTAGCTGCGCTTTCCAAGTCATCACTCGCAAAAACGGACACCGAGCGGTTTGTTTTAGGGGTGGCGTGAAACGGATAAGTGAAGAACCAGATGTATAACGTTGCATATCCTATGTTTCACAGGAAGATGAACTTTTCTGCAACGCTATAAATTGGACAATGTTGCGCCAGACCGGGGGACACAGCGCCGTTGTTTTGAACTTGACATTGCTTTAATGTCACTTCATATAAGAAAACGTCATTCAAGTCAGTTTTAGGCCTCCTTTTATGACTTTATACCGCGGATGCAAAACACGTCGCCATGACAAAGGCAACTCTCTGGACCGTGGCAATCACGGCAACGTTTTTCTTCTGTTTATGTTTTTCAACCCTTAAAGCAGAAACCCCTTCTTGTCACGGAGCCTATGACCTTTACTTTGTTTTGGACCGGTAAGTTCTCGCAAACTTTGATGCTGTTCTGAATTCAAACTTCTCAAGACAAAAAAATAAATATGTATAACGCACAGAGTTACTGTTTATAATGTTGAATAATGTTTAACGTTACACCACACCAAGCTTGTGTTTGTAGGTTAAGGTGTGAATAGAGTCAGTACATGTCCGTGCCAGCTATTCCGGAGTTTGACCTGATTTTACATGTGTGCCAGACACTCCTGGCGACCAGGGCCACACAGAAAGACACTTAGCTGAAATAAAGTCTTTTTGAGACTTGAGACACAAAGCAGTTTCGTTTGGTGCAGGGAGATTGGTTATCGTAAAAGCAGGGGAGAAACATCTTCTGTTTCTGAAGTCTTGACCATTGTCTGTCTGTCTGTCTGTCTGTCTGTCTGTCTATCTATCTATCTATCTATCTATCTATCTATCTATCTATCTATCTATCTATCTATCTATCTATCTATCTATATGCCTATCTGTCTGTCTGTCTCTTTCTGTATATATAATTGATGTACACAAGTTCAAGAAGACTATCCGTCCCTCTTTGTGTCTACTTATCTGTCTATCCATCCTTCTAACTGTCTGTCGAACTTTCATATGCATGTGCAATGTTTCATATTAACTTAGATTCCTTTGAGAATTGTTGTTGGCCTCAGTTCAGTCCTCCATCCTGTCTGGAACTATTACAGGATGATGGCACAGATCTTTTCCTCTTTTTGAAGAACTTCGAGCAGCACAGAACCAGCCAGGCATCATGACTGGTCAAGACCAGCAGATCCGGCTTCAAATGTCTGTGGCCGGAAATCAAACTTCCCTTCACAGGTCCAGACCATTTCTCTCATTTGATGTGGTTTGATGTTCTCTGATGCTCCCACTAATGCTTATCTAGATTCTCTGACCTTGGCTTGAGACAAGGAAGAAGACAATGCATAAAAAATGAGTTTCTAATCGCTTGTGTTTAATGTTCTCAGCACATGCAGTGGACTATAATTATTAGTTCAATTACCTTGTAGCTATTAAGCTATTACAACATTTTATACACTTTTCTCATTAAAGACTGCTTTGCATTGAGGTTAATGTCTCAGAATTCCACTTTCACACTTTCACTTTCATGGATTTTATGTTGTGATATGTACAGATATGTGCAATAATGGAAAAGTAATCAAAATGATTATGAACTCATCTCAGTATGGATGTATACAGTTGCATTTTGGCAATGCATTCATTAACACAGCTCCTTTTGATGTTGATTTGTGTGGTGTTTTTGTATTTGCTATAGACTCCTTTTTGGCTTTTGGAGTCCTAGCTTGGCAACATTTGTGTGTTCTCTGTTACCTTCCCATTATTACTTGTCAATGTAACATGAATTGTACACTACACCAAACAGAAGTATAAGCCTCATTGTTATAAGAGTGTTTGCTAAGAGCAAGAAAATTGACATAATAGCATATATAAATCCACAGAACTTATTCATGCTTATAGTTCTGTTTCTGTTCAAGAAAAGGACAATACATGTTATGCTTTGTTGGATATTTTCATCTTGCTTATCTGCTAAATATCTTAAAAAAAGTTGTTTTTTGTATTTAGCCAGGCCAATTAATAGGCTGCTATTTGACTATTTTGAGACTATCAGCATTGGTTAATAACCATGTTTGCTTGGCCAGTTAATTTGTGCCACTTTTATTATCTACCAACAGTCTTGTTAATGGACAACAAACATTTTCTGTTTTGGAATTACACTGCCATTCAGAAGTTTGGGATCAGTGAGATTTTCATACAAAAGAAATTAAAACCTGTACATTTCTTCACAAATGAAGCATTAAATTGATGTAGTGTGAGAGTAAAGACAATTGAAATGTCATTAAATGTCTATTTCAAGTAAATTTTGTTCTTTTGTACACTTCTGTTCATCTGAGAATTCCACAAAAATATTGAACAGCGCAGCTATTTTCAACATTTTTAATTATATGTTTTTAAAGCACCAAATCAGCATATTAGAATGATTTCTGAAGGATTTCTGTGAGACTGAAGACCGCAGTAATGGCTGCTTAAAATTCAGCTTTTCCATCACAGGAATTTATTGCAATTTATAATATAGTAAAATGAAAACAGTTTTTTTAAATTAAAATATTTCACAATATTTTTCACTTTTATTGTACATTTTTACTTCTTAATCAAATAAATGTAGCCTAGGTGATCATAAGAAACACAGTTAGTTTGTCTTTGTCTCATTTGCTATTACATATACGACAGACATCCACCACTGATCTGGTAGTTTGATGTTTCGGTGTTGGAGTGATGCAATAGTTTCAGGATTGAGTGGGAACTGAAGTGGTCAGCAGCTATAATGAAGTGTCTTGACTCATATGTTGTTATCATAGCAAGGTCTGTGCTGAGCCTTTTTAAGACAGAAATCATTTCTCTGAGACTGTGCTAACAATGAAGTGTAACTGACTCAGCAGCTTCTTTGCCACAATGTAATCAACAGCACAACACTTACAATAACCAGATGGGGACATGTGACTTAAGGGTTTAAATATAATTGCCTCAAGCTGTTTTTTCTTTAGTGCTGACTTTGTTTTCATGTGCTTCCTTCCAGATCTGGGAGTGTTTCGACTGACTGGGATCAGATCTATGACTTCGTCAAAAATCTAACAGAGAGATTTGTGAGGTAAATATTCTAGCTTAATGCTATCAGACAAGTCACTTGTACAAATTCTGAATGTACCTCCCAATCTAACACATCAAAGGAAATATCCATCACAACTTAAATCAAAGCTAAATGTTAACTTGGCTAAACGGCAGCTACACATCCGGTTCTAAGATGGCCCTACAGTGGAGGGAAAAATCGCAAGATGAATGTGAACTTATGTAACGTTGACTCAATGTATGTGCCAGTACAGATGGTAGCGACCTAGCCAGAAGAAAGCAGTCTGCTTGAGAAAATAGCAATGGGAGCAGGTGGGAGTGGGTGGCAAGGAGGCTCAGTCTTCTGGGCTGTGAGAATGGCCATTTGCACTGCAACCATCCAACAGCACACTTATCCCTCACACATGAAAGGAGAAGACGCAGCCAATGTACTTTAAGTCATGAGTGCAGGAAGACCAGTGCAGTCTGCCATAGACTTTGATGGTCTTCTGTTGTGCCATGTGGTCTGCACTGGCTCTTTTTAGGGTGCTTTATTAAGCACTGAATGGACCTGCTGTATGAATATATTATTTAGGAATTACCTTGAAGAGCTGTGTGAGGGGTTCCTGTGTTACCATTGTCTGTCTGTCTGTCTGTCTGTCTGTCTGTCTATCTATCTATCTATCTATCTATCTATCTATCTATCTATCTATCTATCTATCTATCTATCTATCTATCTATCTATCTATATGCCTATCTGTCTGTCTGTCTCTTTCTGTATATATAATTGATGTACACAAGTTCAAGAAGACTATCCGTCCCTCTTTGTGTCTACTTATCTGTCTATCCATCCTTCTAACTGTCTGTCGAACTTTCATATGCATGTGCAATGTTTCATATTAACTTAGATTCCTTTGAGAATTGTTGTTGGCCTCAGTTCAGTCCTCCATCCTGTCTGGAACTATTACAGGATGATGGCACAGATCTTTTCCTCTTTTTGAAGAACTTCGAGCAGCACAGAACCAGCCAGGCATCATGACTGGTCAAGACCAGCAGATCCGGCTTCAAATGTCTGTGGCCGGAAATCAAACTTCCCTTCACAGGTCCAGACCATTTCTCTCATTTGATGTGGTTTGATGTTCTCTGATGCTCCCACTAATGCTTATCTAGATTCTCTGACCTTGGCTTGAGACAAGGAAGAAGACAATGCATAAAAAATGAGTTTCTAATCGCTTGTGTTTAATGTTCTCAGCACATGCAGTGGACTATAATTATTAGTTCAATTACCTTGTAGCTATTACATCAAGGGCACATTTTATACACTTTTCTCATTAAAGACTGCTTTGCATTGAGGTTAATGTCTCAGAATTCCACTTTCACTTGAAATGATTCATGGATTTTATGTTGTGATATGTACAGATATGTGCAATAATGGAAAAGTAATCAAAATGATTATGAACTCATCTCAGTATGGATGTATACAGTTGCATTTTGGCAATGCATTCATTAACACAGCTCCTTTTGATGTTGATTTGTGTGGTGTTTTTGTATTTGCTATAGACTCCTTTTTGGCTTTTGGAGTCCTAGCTTGGCAACATTTGTGTGTTCTCTGTTACCTTCCCATTATTACTTGTCAATGTAACATGAATTGTACACTACACCAAACAGAAGTATAAGCCTCATTGTTATAAGAGTGTTTGCTAAGAGCAAGAAAATTGACATAATAGCATATATAAATCCACAGAACTTATTCATGCTTATAGTTCTGTTTCTGTTCAAGAAAAGGACAATACATGTTATGCTTTGTTGGATATTTTCATCTTGCTTATCTGCTAAATATCTTAAAAAAAGTTGTTTTTTGTATTTAGCCAGGCCAATTAATAGGCTGCTATTTGACTATTTTGAGACTATCAGCATTGGTTAATAACCATGTTTGCTTGGCCAGTTAATTTGTGCCACTTTTATTATCTACCAACAGTCTTGTTAATGGACAACAAACATTTTCTGTTTTGGAATTACACTGCCATTCAGAAGTTTGGGATCAGTGAGATTTTCATACAAAAGAAATTAAAACCTGTACATTTCTTCACAAATGAAGCATTAAATTGATGTAGTGTGAGAGTAAAGACAATTGAAATGTCATTAAATGTCTATTTCAAGTAAATTTTGTTCTTTTGTACACTTCTGTTCATCTGAGAATTCCACAAAAATATTGAACAGCGCAGCTATTTTCAACATTTTTAATTATATGTTTTTAAAGCACCAAATCAGCATATTAGAATGATTTCTGAAGGATTTCTGTGAGACTGAAGACCGCAGTAATGGCTGCTTAAAATTCAGCTTTTCCATCACAGGAATTTATTGCAATTTATAATATAGTAAAATGAAAACAGTTTTTTTAAATTAAAATATTTCACAATATTTTTCACTTTTATTGTACATTTTTACTTCTTAATCAAATAAATGTAGCCTAGGTGATCATAAGAAACACAGTTAGTTTGTCTTTGTCTCATTTGCTATTACATATACGACAGACATCCACCACTGATCTGGTAGTTTGATGTTTCGGTGTTGGAGTGATGCAATAGTTTCAGGATTGAGTGGGAACTGAAGTGGTCAGCAGCTATAATGAAGTGTCTTGACTCATATGTTGTTATCATAGCAAGGTCTGTGCTGAGCCTTTTTAAGACAGAAATCATTTCTCTGAGACTGTGCTAACAATGAAGTGTAACTGACTCAGCAGCTTCTTTGCCACAATGTAATCAACAGCACAACACTTACAATAACCAGATGGGGACATGTGACTTAAGGGTTTAAATATAATTGCCTCAAGCTGTTTTTTCTTTAGTGCTGACTTTGTTTTCATGTGCTTCCTTCCAGATCTGGGAGTGTTTCGACTGACTGGGATCAGATCTATGACTTCGTCAAAAATCTAACAGAGAGATTTGTGAGGTAAATATTCTAGCTTAATGCTATCAGACAAGTCACTTGTACAAATTCTGAATGTACCTCCCAATCTAACACATCAAAGGAAATATCCATCACAACTTAAATCAAAGCTAAATGTTAACTTGGCTAAACGGCAGCTACACATCCGGTTCTAAGATGGCCCTACAGTGGAGGGAAAAATCGCAAGATGAATGTGAACTTATGTAACGTTGACTCAATGTATGTGCCAGTACAGATGGTAGCGACCTAGCCAGAAGAAAGCAGTCTGCTTGAGAAAATAGCAATGGGAGCAGGTGGGAGTGGGTGGCAAGGAGGCTCAGTCTTCTGGGCTGTGAGAATGGCCATTTGCACTGCAACCATCCAACAGCACACTTATCCCTCACACATGAAAGGAGAAGACGCAGCCAATGTACTTTAAGTCATGAGTGCAGGAAGACCAGTGCAGTCTGCCATAGACTTTGATGGTCTTCTGTTGTGCCATGTGGTCTGCACTGGCTCTTTTTAGGGTGCTTTATTAAGCACTGAATGGACCTGCTGTATGAATATATTATTTAGGAATTACCTTGAAGAGCTGTGTGAGGGGTTCCTGTGTTGTTTTATGGTGTAATAAGGGACCAAGCAGAAAGACGATACAAGTAGGTTACAGTACACCTATACTCTTTATATATTCAAGAACATTCGAAATCATTTCTTTTTTAGGACAATTTTTCATTCATGCTAGGTATCGTAATACCATTTGGCAATTGTTGTATTTATCACTTGATCAGCCTGCGAAATGTTCAGTTCTCTTGCCTCTTCTTCATCTGATTTTTGTTACCAAAGTTTGGCTGCTTGGATACATTTGGATATTCTCCCTGAGTATCTCATGTGGGGGATGGTTGTGGATTGGATGTCATTCTGAGTGAGAAAAAGCTGCACCTCTCCTTATGCTCGGTCCTGAGACCTGACTTCAAATGTGTAGAGGAACCCAACATGTTCCTATGCTGTATCAGCTTTCCTGACAGAAGGTTGTGAAAAAGACCAACTGCTTCATTGAAATGTACTTGTCATAATCAGCTATATATTTGTTGTCAGATTATGTGTCAGTTCTTTCTGAGAAAAGAATGCTGTTCCAATATCGTTAGGACATAAAATCCCCGGTTTTGTAAACCAGCAGGTTGCGTGATAGCATTAGTGTTGTTATAGTTAACTAAAACTATTAACAAATGTTTCAGTTAATTGGAATAAAATTGAAAATAAAGTAAATATTAGTTAAAAACTTGAACTATTATTATAATTGTTGCCAGGGCAACTAACTGAAATAAAATATATATGGTGAAGTACTAAAATTACTAAAGCTAAAACTGAAATAAAAATACATTGAAGCTAAAAAAATAAATACTAAAATTACTAAAACTTTTAAACTGAAGTTTAAATGAAAACGGACAAATATAAAAATAAATGCCTATTAGTAATGGTAATAAATACTATAATTTTAAATAAATAATAGTAAAATAACACTATATCTTGAACAATGAAACATACCAGTATTAATGTCATTGTTCTACTTTTTGAACTTGACATAGGTCCAAATACACATCTGTATTGCATCACTGCTTTGCAGAAATTTTTGTGGCTGCTTGTTTGCCCTGCTCTTATTGCGAATGGTAAGAGGAATAAATATAAGAAGTGACAGGTATAAATATAATCACCAACAGGATGTCTGCGTGAATCACACATGACAACCTGTTTACTGTCTGTATATCAATTAATCACTTCCTTGGTTCAAGCAGAAATGATTTTTTTCCCCCAGTCACAAGCTTTTATTAGCTGGTCACATTGGCTATCTTACTCATAAACCAACTCTGATGGTTGCGAAAAGAACATGAGGACAGCCAGACTTTCTACATCAAAGGATTTCTCTGTATCATTTGCAGCAATGCTTGTTTTTAGCTATAAAATCAAGTCTCTTCTGATGTGCTTTCTGATGTGATTAAAAAAGAGATGTGTCCAACTAGAATTTGCAGCTGCACTTGAATTTCCATTTGTCATACATTTACAGTGTTTTTCCTTTTTTTCTCATTTTTTTTATTCCAGTCCAAATATGCGCGTGTCCTTCATAGTGTTTTCATCGAAAGCAGAGATTGTGTTAAAGCTCACTGGAGACAGGTACGGAATCAGGCTTGCATGAAGTGTTTGCAGTCCCTAGTGTATGAAAACTAGTAATACACCATGTGTTTGTACAGTACATTAAAGAGGAGTAAATATTTTTGGTGTAAAGGTTTCCTTCATGTGTTGATGGTTTTACATGATTCTAAAATTACCATTACATCTTATCGTGAGCATGACATTTAGTAGAATATTTCTTCCGTGTACACTGATTAGAATATTCCTTGCTTTTCATTATCAGGGCAAAAATAAATGAAGGTCTGAAGTATTTAAATGCTGTCAAACCAGCAGGAGAAACCTACATGCATGAAGGAATTAAAAAGGTAAATGGTGTGCTTTTTATGATAAACCGTGGAATGGAATTTGTGTGTGTTTTAAGAAATTAATTAATAAAAAAAAATCTAATGTGCAGACACGGGAGTGTAAATATACTTGACTGACTGTATTTCCTTGAATTTATTCTTGTACTGAAATAAACAAAATAAGGTAACAGGGTAAACTTTCTGGTTCCCCTCATGACCAAGATAAGGTGTAATTACATCTTTCTAAATAAACACACCACACGTAGGGCTGGACAATAATTCAATATCAATATGTATCGCGATATAATTTTTTTCAATAACGGTGATATGATTTTTAAACACATTTCCGATATTTCGATATACATTACTAGTGTTTCCCATACATTGATTTATTTGTGGTGTTTGACTTCGTTGAATAAACATGAGCACTGCACGGCGCGGGTGTTTTATATGAATGTATCTCTGAAGGGAACCGACGGTCTTCAGAAAAGTTTCGATGGCGTTTTCATTTTATCTGATAAAGTAGCGTTCATGAGCGGAGCTGCTTTGATTACAGCCGTTACTGGAGAAACCGCTAGTTCCACAGCGCCTCCTGCTGGCAGACAAGCAGTTTTTCAATTTTCAGTAAGCCCGTCTCCAGCAACATGTTTTAGTTGTAGCTCTTTATTTTTTTTTTCTGCAGAAACTCAGAGCACCTTTCATACCCTTTATACTGGCTAAAGCACATTTGTTTCAATCTATAAGAATAATCAGCCTACACTACCAGTCAAAGTTTTTGGACAGTAAGATTTTTAATGTTTTTTTTTTAAATTTTTTTTTAGAAGTCTCTTCTGCTCACCAAGCCTGCGTTTATTTGATCCAAAGTACAGCAAAAACAGTAACATTTAAAAATATTTTTACTATTTAAAATAACTGCTTTCTATTTGAATATATTTTAAAATGTAATTTATTCCTGTGATCAAAGCTGAATTTTCAGCATCATTACTCCAGTCTTCAGTGTCACACGATCCAGAAAACATTGTAATATGCCGATTTGCTAATTATGAATATTTAAAACAGTTTAAGCATTTTTTTAATTTCAGGATTCTTTGATGAATAAAGATCCAAAGATCAGCATTTGTCTGAAATAAAAAGCTTTTGTAACATTATACACTATTCCATTCAAAAACTTGGAGTCAGTATGATTTTTTATTTTTTTGTGAAAGAAATTATATAAATTAATACGTTTATTTAGCAAGGATGCTAAAAGTGATGATAAAGACATTTATAATGTTACAAAAGATTTCTATTTCAGATAAATGCTGTTCTTCTGAACTTTCTATTCATCAAAGAAACCTGAAAAAAATCTACTCTTCAAAAACTTTTGACTGGTAGTGTATGTTAGCTTATAGTTTGAAGTTAAAGATATTAATATTAATTAGGTGAGTCTGAGATGTTTATTTGACAGTGATTTCACATTTCTTGTTTGTATGAAGGCTAAATACAAATAAAAGGTGAGCATTCATTTATTTGTGCCGTTTTTTTTTCTCCCCAAAGTATTATATGGTTTTAAATGAGGTGTCAAGACTTGTCAAATTCATTTTTCATAAGTTTGTATGCACAGACATCTGTTGTGGGCGTTCTTGGCAGTTTTTACGAGGCTTTTTTTAAATAAGTGTTCATATCGATATCGGAATTATATCGTATAGACCGAAATTAATAAATATATCGTGATATAAATTTAGGCCATATCGTCCAGCCCTAACCACACTGGGAAGTCGTGGCCTAATGGTTAGAGAGTCGGACTCGTAACCCAAAGGTTGCGGGTTTGAGTCTCGTACCGGCAGGGATTGTAGGTGGGGGGAATGAATGTACAGTGCTCTCTCCCACCTTCAATACCACGACTGAGGTGCCCTTGAGCAAGACACCGAACCCCAACTGCTCCCTGGGTGCCGCAGCATAAATGGCTGCCCACTTCTCCGGGTGTTTGTTCACGGTGTGTGTGTGTTCACTGCTGTGTGTGTGAACTTTGGATGGGTTAAATGCAGAGCACTAATTCCAAGTATGGGTCACCATACTTGGTCATATGTCACTTTCACTTTCTTTTCACATTCAGTATCCTATATCTGGCCTCAAGATGAGTTCAGTGTCTTTGATACAATGATAGATAAATGAAATATGTGACCCTGGTCTGGACCACAAAACCAGTCTTAAGTCGATGGGGTATATTTTTAGTATTGAATGGGTCAAAATTAACGATTTTTCTTTTATGTCAAAAATCATTAGGACATTAAGTAAAGAACCATGTTCCATGAAGATATTTTGTAAATATCCTACTGTAAATATATCAAAACTTAATTTTTGATTAGTAATATGCATTGCTAAGAACTTCATTTGGACAACTTTAAAGGAGATTTTCTCAGTATTTATTTATTTTTTGCACCCTCAGATTCCAGATTTTCAAATAGTTGTATCTACATTGTCCTATCCTAAAAAACCATACATCAATGGAAAGCTTATTTATTCAGCTTTCAGATGATATATGAATCTCAATTTTGAGAAATTTACCCTTATGACTGTTTTTTTTTTTTTTAATACATCCCTGCAATCTTTGAGAAAATAGATATGTTTCTACTCGCACAACTATCACTCCCTTCCTCTTTCCAGGCAACTGCACAAATGAAAGAACAGCTCAAAAAGTCCTCTAGTATAATTGTGGCTTTGACTGATGGAAAGCTTGAACCGTATATCCATAAACTCACTAAGGATGAGGTGAGCTGGTATCTAACATCATACATATTTTTCTTAATTCATGGCAATGAACAGTTGCATTGTTATGACTGTTTGTTGTGTATATAGGCTGATGAAGCAAGGACGTTTGGGGCTCGTGTGTACTGTGTCGGCGTAAAGGACTTTGATGAAGAACAGGTAATACTGACAGATTTAAAAATAGTGTGAAAACTACACAGAAAACGTGCGATTAACACTTAAAAAGCTCTCTAAAGCTTCCCCAAGTGCAGGGGTTTTGCAGAGTTGCCTGTAATTACAGGGCTGCTGCTCTCTTTCTGTTTCTGAAAACTGAGTTAAAGGAGAGGAAATGCCAGCACATTTTTTTTTACTTGGCTATCAGCCTTGTTATTATTATCTCTCTATTTGCCTGCCAACAGCTCGCCGATGTGGCTGATACCAGGGAGCAAGTGTTCCCAGTCAAAGGAGGCTTTCAAGCTCTCAAAGACATTGTGAACTCGGTAAGTTCTCCATGCCAGGGGCACCCATCCCAAAAGGTGTGATAGAGGTTCTAGTCAACTAAGACAGATCCATTGAACTGTTAGGTAGTCATTTAGCTGACAATTTCTTCAAAGTGACTTACAGTAGACTTCTTATGTGAACAGCCCCCTGGAGCAAAAAGGGGTTAAATGGCTTACTCAAGGGAGAAATGCTGAGAGAATCGGCAACAAGCACATCACCTCAACTAAACTATACTATGAGTATACAGCCCATTCTTGGGAATATTTCTTGTGTTCTTTGAAAATGGATGTGTTTTTGCAATTACCTTTTTTTTTTTGCATTTGTGATGCTTTCCGTTTGCTTCATGATGCTTTGAATGTTCCTCAGCAATTTTTCCGTGCATGTTTGCATTTACTTTATGTGCATCACATTTACCGAAGATGCAGTTTAACATTGTAAACATGGTATGAAGACTGAACATCTTCTGCCATCAGTAAACCATCAACAGCTGAGGTCAGTGTTTTTGTACATGGGTGTGTTGTTTTGTGACCACAGGAATCAGTTTCTTGGATATTTTTCAGGTTTAGTCATGCGAGACAAATGACAGGACCTCCATGTAATTTATTGTTTTGTGCACAAAAGAGATATGAAAAAAAGACCCATCATGTTGTTACTAAGTAAGCTTGTTTGGCCAAATGGAGTTTCAGGCCCAGCAAAACACAGGCATTCTCCAGTGATTAGTAATCTTGGAGGTTGTGCTAGTTGGCCTCATGTTGCTCTCTGCTCAGATTTCCAGGATTTGAGATCAGTTTTGCAGTCTGGGCCTAAAGGAGACTTAACAGATATTTAGCAAAAAGCAAAAGCCTAAAGAATAGATTTAACCAGGCATATTTTAATATTCCAAGACTGTTTTGATTGATTGCAGAGAAGGTTTTTTATTTTTTATTTTTGTGGCTTAATTAAAATATTTAATATCAAATGTTTGGGGTCAGTAAGATTATTATTATTTTTTAGAAATTAATAATTATATTCAACAAGGATGCATTGAATTGAAACCTGAAAATAATCAAAAATGCATTTACAATGATACAAAAGATAAATATATGCTAATAATTGCTGTTTTTTAATATTCTATTTATTAAATTATTACATATAAATTAAATTACATAAAATTACATGTAAAAATAAAAGAAAGAAAAAAGAATAAAAAAAGAAATACAAATAAAAATGATTTTAAATTGTAATAATATTGCACAATATTACTGTTTTTAGTGTATTTTTGATCAGATAAATGCAGCCTTGGTGAGCACAAGAGATTTCAAAAATATATATTTTTTTGAAAATCTTACCGACCCCAAACTTTTAAACCGTAGTGTATATAACTCCACAAAATATGTGTACTGGACCCGACTGGAGGGAATGGATATTGCTTAAATTATCAAAAAGATCCAAGTGTAAACACGGGTTTCTGAGTAAAAACATATTGACCTAGTTGTGAAAGGGAAAGATTTTGTGGTCAAATGAGGTTAAAAACATTTTCAGCCAAATTTGAAAGCAGTATTTGTAGTGCTAATTCTCACAACGCTGACACCTCATATACATACAAGAAATTTTATTTAAATCTGACTGAAGCTGAAAACTGAATGAAAACTCTTTCAGCAGGATGGTGATCCAAACACAAAGCAAGGGGGAAAAAAAGCTTAAAAAGGTCAAATCCATGATCTCAATTCAACTGAGAATTTGTGGCTCTTGCAATTTGAGAATTTGTTGCACTGCAAGAATGTCATGATTATCCAATCAGAATCAAGTATTCTAGAGATCTGTGTAATAATTATAGATAGATGGATGCTCTAATGCTTAAAGTCTATTCCTGTGTGTGTATAGATACATGTCAAAGAAAAGAAGTTGAAATGTCTTGCGATGAACCTCCCTTGTATCGTTCCATCTCATAACTCATTAAAGAGTCATAAAGACCATCCTGAGTATCTTTCAGCCCTGATGTTCAGTCAGTGTTCCTTCTTCCCTTTAATGATAGCAGAGTTTATCAGGTGTCATATTCAATCAGCCTGTTGTATATGTGCCCTCCGCTTCAGTCTGAAGCCTCATCTCCACTGCAGGCGATTTGGAGGACCATATCTTTCTGTTAATGTTGTCTTTTTGCCCATTGTGTACAGAGATTTGCATAGTTTGTCCTCTGTTGATTTATGTGGATGATGGGAGAAGCGATGGTGGCCTCTCACAGGCCTGTTTATATGATAATGTCAGCCTGCGGTCTCTAATAGAGCTGAAGAGGGAAAATGGCACCGCATAATTTCCCCATAACGGCTGACACGGGTCTATCCCACACCACACTACAGTATGTGATGCTCGTCTCATTGAGCTTGATTTGGCATAGCAAACATCCCCGGCGTGAATGCTAAACACCCAGACATTGTGATAGCTGATACAGTGATTCAGCAGTGACAAGTACTAATTTGAATACATTTTTATCATACAGATCCTCAAGCAATCATGCACAGAGATCCTAACAGTGGAGCCATCCAGCGTCTGTGTGAACCGTAAGCATTTTGAGTGCTTTTACAGCTGTCAGGGTGGATGAAATTGCCTTTGTGTGTGTGTGTGTGTGTGTGTGTGTGTGTTTGTGCGTGCGTGCGTGTACATGGTCTTTGATTTGGGTGAATGCCCAGGAGTGCTTCTCATTATGTCCTCATCTGGTTTACATACCACAGAGTCCTTTGAGATTGTTTTGAGAGGGAATGGGTTCACACTGGGTAGACAAACAGAAGGAGTGGTCTGCAGTTTCATAGTGGATGGAGCTACTAACAGTAAGTATGGTTATACTGCATATATTGACGTCAACCTTACTCTTTAGCCTGATGCAATACTGATTTAAGAGATTTTTTTTGTCTGGTAGTCAGTTGTATCATACAAGAAGTGACAAGCAGGCCACACCTAGAATGCAATGCACCTAAGATGCAAGACGTTTTGTGGCTTAACAGTCACATTAGGTTTCTAAAGACAGAATAAGATGTTCAAATACACCAATAAAGATTTAAAGCAGTAGTTCTTAACCAGGCGGCAGGGCCCACTAGGGAACTTCCAAGAGGGCTGCAGGATGACTTAAAATTATTTAATTTAATGAATAGAATTATTATTATTTTGATATAATTAAACAATCTCAATTAATATGCTAAAATAATAAATATTGTTTTTATTATTCCTCTGTTTAACGTCTGGAATTTCAAAATGAATTGTGGTTCATTCATTTAGCTACGTTGACACTCCCGGTTTCTGTTAATATATTATGATTTTATATATGTGCAAAATGGTTATGGTTTTATATATCCACAAAACCAGTCATAAGGGTAATTTTTTTGAAACTGAGATTTATACACAATCTGAAAGCTGAATAAATAAGCTTTCCGTTGATGTATGGTTTGTTAGGATAGGACACTATTTGGCCGAGATACAACTATTTTAAAATCTGGCTCTCTGAATGTGTCTATGCATCTGCATATTTTTGATTGGAAGCATATCCAGGATATGCCACCCAGAAAACAATTCATGTCATTTATAGCATATATGCAAACATACTGTATATGAGTTGTCCTGAACAATCTTTGCTGAACAGTCCACTAGGTAATATCAAATAGTGTCTTTTGGGGATTTAAATGGTCTTTGTGTTTCAATGACGTAGCGCCAGATATCAGGTCTCATCTGCAACGACAGCTGTTGGTTCGTCAGACCAGGATCTAGGGCATCTGTCAGCCTGCCCATTAGCACTGGCCGGCCCCGTCCCTTAGAGTCTTTGGCTGGAGGGGGTGAGGAAATTTTGTCTGGCAGCAGCATGTCCTCACCTGTGTTTTCACAACAACAGCGGAGTGAGAAAAATAACCGAGGAACAGACCTGACACCTGCCTGCAGCACGAGTGGTGGAACGTGCCTCATCAATAATCAATCTGATCTGTCAGGCTGCCATTTAAGTTCCATCTGCACATGGGGTGGGAAATGCGCCCAGATAACATGGCAGCGCTGCCTCCACCAGAGCTCCTCCTCTCACTCTGCTAGATGATAAAAAGATGGTCAGTCTTTCTAAAATGCTGAATGGTTTATTTATTTTTCAATGAAAGTTTGATGCTTTTCATATCTTGTGTCATATTGGATGTTTTCGCCAATGTTGGAAAGCTACTTGCCAAGCTACAAGCTAATCATAATTTGAACTTGAATACACTACAATCAGTGTATTCTTGTGGAAAAGTAGTTAGTTATACTACTAATCAAACTGTTGGGTTTAAGTAAGATTTTATAAATGTTTTTGAAAGAAGCCTCTTATTCTCACTCAGGCTGCGTTTATTTGATCAAAAATACAGTAAAATGTTAAATAATATTACAATTTAAAATAACTGTTTTCTATTATAATATTTAATATATTGTAAGCGAAATGTGTCACATGATCCTTCAGAAATCATTATAATATGCCGATTTGGTTCTCAAGAAACATTTCTTATTATTATCAAATGTCAATATTTTTTTTGTGAAAACCATGATCTTTTTTTCCATGATCCTTCAATGAATAGTTACAAAAAGAAAAGAAAAGTTCTTTTGATCAGTATAATACAACCTTATACATCCCCAATGGTAGTGTATGCTACATGCTACTAACAAGAAGTAGCTAACCAAGTTGAAGTTCTTTAAGGTGCCAATATATTTTTTATTATTCTAACTGATGGTATAATGGGATATATATATATACATATGTATATGTTGGTTTATTTTCAATTCAGTTTAGCTTCTGTTAGTTTTAATTTTTAATTTCATTTCAGTTTTTGTCTATTTTTGTTTAGTTTTCTTCCCCTTTAAAGTCATTCCCTTTTTCTTTACTTTTATCTGTAGAACACTGCCTATTATGATGCACTTATTTTGATCAGAAATTACATCATATTCTAAATAACTCCCAATCGGACTCCTTCCTTATATTTGTCTCTCCGTTTCTGCTGTAACTGTCGTCACTCTGCTGTGAAAAATCTCACAGAAAAATCTCTGAAAAATAAAGCAGAATATACAGTGTATAAAATAGAGTAACTATATTTTCAAACTTTATTCAAGGCAGTGTGTAATAATTAGCATAAAATAAAAAGTACCATTCCAATGTGCTTATGTGTTCTCTTCCTATAGACAAATGGAGGTTCTGATCAGTTTGAACAGTGGCACATCATATATCTCCAGTGCTTTCACCATCACTGCCTCCACATGTGTAAGTCAAACATGACATCAGAAGGAAAAATGTCTCTTTAGCTTATATACTTATAACATAATTTATAACTGTAAAAATTGGATTTATATTGCATGCAGTATTTCCTTTGTTTCGTTCTGTTTTCATAACATCTTGCTGTTATTCTGTTTTTAAGCCAACTGTAAATGTTCCCTCTCTCATTAGTCGGACGGCACAGTGGTGGCCATTGTGTTCTTGGTGCTCTTTCTCCTGTTGGCTTTGGCTCTGATGTGGTGGTTCTGGCCTCTCTGCTGCACTATTGTAAGTGTCACATGTCTTCCAGCATCCCAATGTGAATTGTGTCCCTTTTCACCTACAGAATCTGTATTGAGATTAACATTACCATGTTTATTTCTCATTATTTATACTTTCCTGTTTGGTACTTTAACTGTAAATTCTAATGAGGTTTACATCATTTGTTTATAGTAAGATAAGAAATCAGTAGTGGTTTACTTTTCTTATGGTGTTCATTTAGCTTATAAAGTGTTTTGTTCATATTTACCCAGCTTTAAGAGATTTTTTTATTAGTTGTTGTGGCTGAACGTCAAATTTGTAAATTTCAAGGGAAGAACAATGCACAGCAATAGACCTGACCACATCCTGACTATTCATCTGATGTGTGCAACCAGAACAGCTGCTAAAAATACAGAAGTATTTCATATGTGGCAAAAAAAAAAACAAGAAGCTATTTTCCTGTTGGTGCTTTGTGATTTTTTTTGTGATTCAAATGTTTGGCTGTAAAATAAAACCAAACAAAGTACACTCTCCTATACTTAAAATAACTATTTAAATAAAAAAGCAGCTATGCTTCTCGGTCTCGGCTCTGATTTGCTTGTATACTGTATATAGATGGTGCACTTACAATTTATATAGAATTCGAAGCTGGTGAGTATCGCTTTGGCAATCAGCGTCAATGCAACACCAAATTATATGCACCACCTCTCTTTGAGAACCTGGCGGGAGCCATTCCAGGACGAGATGGAAGCATATTTTGGAAAACCAACAAAGGCATTAAAATGTAAACCCCCCGCAGCATGTCTGGACTCGGCCCTGTTTGTCTTGGTGGAAGAGCTGCTGTTCCTCTCCATCAGGGACCCCGGCACAAGAGAAGGACCATGTGTGCTTTGTTAATATTTAAACTCAGCCATGCCAGCTTTCAGCAATCAGAGAAATACAGAAGCACCCCCCCCCCCCCACAGCAACACGGTTTTTGCAGAAATGCCAAAATTTTACCAAATAGTAAGAAAGGTCATAAGAAATTGGAAGGTCAAGTATGTAAGTATGTGTTTTTGCGCCATCAAACAGGTCAGTCCAAAGACTAAATTGACTACAGTGGACAATCTAAACATATAAATGTTGGAATGTAAATAAATAAATATCATATTATTTCTAAATTATTTTTTTTATTAAATATAAAACATGTCATTGTATTTTGGTAAAGGCATCTGTTTATTTATGGTCTGATACCACACTCTTAGGTCATTAATTTGTTGTTTTACTGCAAACAGGTTAATTTTATGTTAATGGAAATGCACCATTTTAATTTGCAAATATGCTACCTGCTACTTGTTCATGATCATGTTAAGCCTGGGAAACAGCTTGACACAACAGTGTGTTCAGAGGGGTGAAATGGACAGATTATAAACTCCAATTGGACAATTATCCCGAAAGCCATATGGGGACGTTGTACTGCTGGGCTGTGATTGGTCGATTCCACAGCTGTGCCACTAGTTTTTAACCCCTCGCATGAGTGTCAGATGGCGAAGTACACTGACATTTTGGATTTAATTATCAGCTCTTCATCGTCCGAACCACATTTAAAGGGTTGTCCCGGCTTCACATCTGTCGTTCAGGTAGTTTGAGAACCTAACAGCCCAGCATGTAATTTGTGTAATGCCTTATTTATCCCACAATATGTCTGGCAAATATAAATCTGCTCTTTAATTACTCAATAAAAAAGCTAATCCTTTAGCACAAGGTTCTGTCCAAAGTTATGTTAATCATCACACGCTGGGGGCCCCACGGATGGATAGGATTGGATTTTCCAACAGTCAGTCAAAGAGCAATTAATTAACTCTAATTGATTATTTTCCATCATTATAATGGTAACAATGGCGAAATGATATCAGTGCACTTTAATGTGAATGAAACAGCTGTTCTACCCATGATATGTGATGATTAAAAGGCATTTTCCCCTGAAAACTAATTTAGTAAATGCTTAACCTGCAATGGCAGTGTATCCATCTTTCATGTTTAATGAGACAAGGCTTCCATTTTGGAAAGCATCTGCAATGGAAGGGGTTACATGGTTGACAGGTGAAACATGGTCACTTCCGAGGCGTTTTATCTAGATTGTTGGAGTCTATTCTGTGAGTTACAAAGGCTCAAGTATGCCGAGCTTTACAAATTACATATGTAGCCATTATATTGCAGTAGTTTGCCCTTTAACCTCATGAGAGGAGAAGTGAATGGGACTGGTAAATGACATTGGATTCAAACTTGTGTCGCCCACATAAGCTCAACTGCTGGGCCGCTGCTCTGACGCAAACTCACTTTTGTCTAGTAACATATTTATCCATCATGTTGAAGAGTGGTTAGATGTGTCAGGTCAGTTGATATGCAGTTTGCTGAGCGATCACTAATCTGACGACACCAGAATCAATAGATGCCAAAGACATTTCCAGGAAGAACATCTTGTCTTTGAGAAAAGTCACCTGCTGAATCCAGCTTAGTGTTTCTCGTGACAGACAAGCAGTCACAGACAGTGCTACAGGAAGTCATCTCATCCTGTTAACTCTCCTCTCCTTTGCACTGGGGATCGGCCTGGAGTGAAGCCCAAGTTTCCCTTCAGCATTTCATTGCAGCTAATTAATTCCTCAGGACTTTATGATTGGGGGATTGCAGGGGAGCGTTGAACATCGTCCAATTAATTAAGAGTTAAACGGACCACCGTGCTCACCCCAAAGACTCCCCTGTCAACAAGTTGATTTTTGGGCTTTCTTTATTTTGCACCAGGGCCCTGCAGTGTTATTTTACAAGCAGATCCCTGTAATCAATTGTGGTGGTGCCCGGCTCCATTTGTTCAACTGTGAATCAGGTCCTTAGACAGCAATAACTAACTGATTAATTTCATTTAGAATGATTCTTTCTCTCTTCTCAGGTTATTAAAGACCCACCCCCTCAAAGACCTACTCCACCTCCACCTGTAAGATTTTTTGTATAAAATATACATATAATTAATGTTTATGAATATATATTTTTATTAAAAAATACATATAATTTTTGTATAACATACACAAGGTTTATTTACGGTTAATTTGAAGGTTCTATTTTTAAAATGCTAAAATATAGTCAAAGGTTTGGGTTAAGATTTATTTTTTTAAAGAAATTGCTCATTTTGTTCAGCAAGGATACATTAAATAGATCAAAAGTGACAGTAAAGACATTGTTTATATTACAAAAGATTTCTGTTTCAAATAAATGCTATTTATAAATCCGAAAACCTGGTTTTCACAAAAACAATAAGCAGAACAACTATTTTCAACATTGATAACAATAATAATATATGCTTCTTGAGCACCAACTCAGCATATTAGAAGGATTTCTGAAGGATCATGTGACTCTAAAGACTGAGATCCAGCTTTGCCAGCACAGGAATGAATTATGTTTTCCAAAAATGTAATTCCTAAAATATTAAAATCCTAATTAAAATCTTAATGACCCCAAACTTTTTAATGGTAGTGTGCATAAATATAACAGTCACCCATCTGCTGTTGTATTTGCAATGCTTTCTTTGAGTCTGTAAGTTTCAATTTTATCAATTTTCTGGCCATATTTTTTTTTTCAGAAGCCAGAGCCAGACTCAGTACCCAAGAAAAAGTGGCCAACAGTTGATGCATCTTATTATGGGGGAAGAGGAGCTGGTGGAATCAAACGAATGGAGGTGAACATCGAGACATTACACTTTAATGATGCTTATAATGATTTGCAGCCCCCTGATGACAGGAAAGGTTTTGATGTCATCACAGCTGTTTTTGAGCATTTTGCAGTTGTCTGCCACCTCCACTCTTTCTCCCAGGAGTGTTGATGACCTGCCTGACATTATTAATGCTTTGCATGTTTATTAAGTCACATATTGATATATCAACATGTTTCTTTTTCTGACAGTTTCATAATTGTACACTCTTAAAAATAAAGGTGCTTCAAAAGGTTCTTCAAGCGATGTCATAGAAGAACCATTTTTGGTTCCACAAAGAACCATTCAGTCAAAGGTTCTTTAAAGAACCATCTCTTTCTTACCTTTTTATAATCTGAAGAACCTTCTTTCGCCACAAAGAACCTTTTGTGAAACAGAAAGGTTCTTCAGATGGTAAAGGTTCTTTATGGAACCATTTAGACAAAAAGGTTCTTCTATGGCATCGTGAAGCACCTTTATTTTTAAGAGTGTAGGACTAACATTATAAAATTGTATTTTTTATACAACAGTTAGTTTTGAATGGTTAATGAGCAGTGTGGAGTTCAAGTGGGGTTGTGTAATTTTGCCTGGAGGCTGGAGTAATTATGTTTCCAGAAAGTTGGACTATCCTTGTTTTCTTTGGCTTACTCTCACCAGTGACAATGGAGTGAGAGTTTAGCAGAAAATGGAAAATCTGGAGTGGACATGGAGCGGAGTGCTTTAATTGGGGTCACATATCAGGATGTGCAATATATTGATACCCTATCGGTTATCGGCTGACATTTGACTTTTGCCTTCATCTAACCCTTACCTAAGGTTATTCTTTAATAATAATAATAATTGAATAACACAGTTTAATAGATAAACAGATTTTCATACTGTACATTATAATGTTTTAATGCCTTGACTTGTAGCATTTAAAATGACTTCAGTTTATAGTGCTTTTACTTTTAATTTATTTTGAAAAAATAATGTAGAATTTTTATAAGCCATTCACAGGTTATCGAATATAACATAAATATAAATATCAGTGCATCCCTATTTACATTCTCTGCTTCAGTCTGTGCGTTACTTGGCAACATGCAAATCTTTGACTTCATTTGGAAATATTTTCATTGATGTCCAAAAAAAAAAAAAACCTAGCAGGTCAAATTTTGTCTGAAATGCAAATTACTTGATATTAATGTTTAAAGAACTGCAAAATAACTTATATTCAGAACAACAGCAACCCAGCTTGCGTGATATTGCCTCATTGGCATACATTTAGGTTATATTGTTCATGTTAGTATTACTTGTGTTGATTTCTCTTTTTGATTAATCTCTCCCGCTATTACTCTTATTGTAAGTTGCTTTAGATGACATGTAAATGTTAGTAGTAGACTTAAGGGTCAGATATTCTTGATCATTTTGGTCCAGACTTTAATAATCAGGTGGAGAATTAATGAATTGAGCTTGGAAAAGAAAACATATTGTTCTTTTTTTTATCCACACAAGAGCACTTGCTGTTCTTGCCCATCTAAAAGCCTTTGTGTCTGTGATGTCAAGCTCAAGACACCTCAAAGTTTCTGATAGAAATCCCCTTAAATGTAGCACAGCCCCTGACTGATGGTTTTGACTTGACAGGGCCCTGCCAGTTCAGCTTCCATGATGTCCCGCTGTCTTAGGCCATGTTGATGCTGAAGGATTGAGAACCGCTGTGATGAGACGAATTCATCTTGCTGACTTCCATTCTGTCATTCGACTTTGTTCAGCTGAAATGTGCTACATACACTCTTAAAAATAAAGGTGCTTCAAAAGGTTCTTCAAGCGATGCCATAGAAGAACAATTTTTAGTTCCACAAAGAACCGTTCAGTCATAGGTTCTTTAAAGAACCATCTCTTTATTACCTTTTTATAATCTCAAGAACCTTTTTTCGCCACAAAGAACCTTTTGTGAAACAGAAAGGTTCTTCAGATGTTAAAGGTTCTTTATGGAACCATTTAGACAAAAAGGTTCTTCTATGGCATCGTGAAGCACCTTTATTTTTAAGAGTGTAGCACTGTATCCATCTCAAAGCTGGTTTTAAAAGGGATATTTGTTACACGCTCGACCGTCCCTCCTCCAAGCTCCAATGTTCAAAAAAGCATCCATTATGTAATATTCATTTCTGTCTCCAATAATTAGAGATGCACCGAAATTCCGGCTGCCTAAAATTATTTCACCGCTCAGGTTTCACTTTCACGTGGTGTGACGCTCTGCGTATTATCCCGCTCTATGCATGTGCGCTCTGCTCAGCGCTCCACTCATTTATCATTCATTAAAGCCTTGGACGGGCCTCAAATTTAGGCCCTGGCCTGAAACGCTCAGGCCCTAGCCCGGCCCATGTCCGACAGCTTATAAGAATTACAGACCCGAGCCCGTCTTTTTTTCCCCTTCTCCCAAAACAGCTTATACTACTGTTTCAGCTATTAAAATAGTTCAGTTTTGTATGTAATGGCAAAGTTATTATATTTCGTTTCGTTTTTTTATTAAGTTAATTTAGAAAAACGTTTGGAGCATTTTTTGTTCGTTAAATATACGTTTTTGTTTTTTAAAATAACGACCAAGATAGTGAGCCTGTTTGATCAATTTAGCCTTCTCAAATCATCACGACTTGCCTAAAATAAAATCTATAGATATAAAACAGTTCAAGCATATAACAATGTTTAAACGTTAAACCTAGATAAATGTGCGCTATATCCAATAGTTTGTGCGGAGAGTGGAAGCTAAAGCGCGCTTTGCAGGACATGGAGGCGCCAGCGCGATCACTTGCATTTTATTTAGTGGATACACCGTCACTTTTGCTCATAAAGGTAAGAGTAATACATCATTCATAACTGTAAAGGGTCTACTTTTATTTTATACACCGTCACTTTTGCTCATAAAGGTAAGAGTAAAACATCATTCATAACTGTAAAGGGTCTACTTTTATTTGTGTGCACTCACAATATCAACAAAACGTTGTGCTTTTATAAAATAAAGAAATCAAACATGATGCGCTTTCTGCCGTCTCGTCTTGAACAGGAGCGCTTCACAAAAATTAACCGAAACTCAGTGAATGCATGCCACACACAGACATGATAAATATATCTATAGAAAGCTTTAAATTACTACTTAACGAAATAAAACTCTTTCATTATAATCATAATCATAATCCGTAAAATGGAAAAATGGAAACCCAAGGGACGTAAAAAAGTCGGGGCCCGTCGGGCTAAAAATGCAGGGCTCTACCGTTCATGCTCATCGAAACGGCAAAGTCCACTCAAAAAATCGAGCCGACAGGAAACATCTATGTAGTACATGTAGTGCCCCTTCAGTCCTAGGTGTATCTACACTTTGGAATTGTTGACACTAGAACCCAGATTCGTTTAATTGTGTCTCTCGACGTGATTTTACTTAAAGTCAAAATGTGACCCTGCTTTTTTATACTACTTCTTACAAAGTGCAACGCTGACCCCTGTAAACTGCTTTCCAAAAAATATAGCTACGTATCAGTTCTTTTTTAAATGACACGCTATGTAGCAGAAATATACAATGAATTTATTTAAAAGAAAATAGACAAAAGGAATCAAAGATTAATCTAAATATGTTCTTTCAACTTATAAATAAGCTTTTATCTTCAAATACAGTGCTTGCTTTGACTTTTTTCTTTCCCTTTCCACAACACACTTCAAGGGTTAAACTTTTACACAAATATCAAAATAAAAGTTTGTCACTGAATCACTCTTCCAAATTAAACCTCAGTTCTTTCCCTTCGGAAGTATAAATTTGTCACCAATCAGTGTAAACCAATATATCAGTGTCCTTTAGAAAACTTAAAATATAAATACAGTAAGTAAACAAACTTTAGATTTAGTTAGAAATACCAATGTAACCCTTTACTGACATACTTTCAATGAGTCAGAGTATTAAACCACTATATGGTTAAAAAATAGAAAAACAGCTTAATATGGGCCCACCACACTCACTCACTTACACACACACACACACACACACACCCCGTAGCAGGCCTGAAATGTCACTGGTGTGCGTTGAGGCCAAGTGAAACCTAAAATCGCCGTTTCGCTCTCGAAGAGCACAAATAAAACAGACAAAATGCACCTGAATGAACTTGAAAGAGTTCCAGGATCCCATCAGATCAGTCCACGTGAGGCGGTGATCGGTCGGCAAACTCCGTGACACTCCCGCGATGCCAGAGGAACGCCTAACCACTTGGCGATTAGGAGCGCTATCTGGATTTCCTCAATGTACTTCACAGTCGATGTAACAACAGTCTGTGGCAATCACTCTGATCACCTCTAGCTCTCTTACAGTCGCTGATTTCAATGATAAACTTGATTTAAGTATCTCACCAGCGATTCAGGTTAGTCCTGTTTACTGTAATGGCTATACAGCATAAACCCCGCATTTCTTCCGAATCGCGTCGCATTGACTTCTTTGTGGCGTCATGTTGACTTCATAATAGAATAATATGCTAGTTAACACTTAAAGGGGTCATATGATGAGATTTAATTTTTTCCTTTCTCTTTGGAGTGTTACAAGCTCTTGGTGCATAAAGAAGATCTGTAAAGTTGCAAAGACTAAAGTCTCAAATCCAAAGAGATATTCTTTATAAAAGTTAAGAGTCAGCCACTCCTACCTAAAATGGCTTGTTCGAACACCCCCCCACATATCTACCTCACTATGTGGGAAGATTTGCATAACGCCGCCCAAATGTTCACGCAAAGAAAGAAGGTGTAACTTTTATTCTCGCTGTATTATTGTTGCCGCTGCCGCCATGTCCTGAATACGCTGTGTGTTTCGTTGTGAAAGCGAAACTACTTTGTTTGGTCTTCCAAAAGAGGATGATATCCGCTTCGCCATGCCTGGAGCTGATCCGTGCTGGTCGCTGAGGAAATACATCAACTTAGTGCTGTGGATCGCCGGAGTCCAGCCCGGGGTCATCACATGTGCTTGCCACAAGTCCGCCGGACGCTCCTTCATCGAATCCGCTCATTACACCAAATAATGTTCTTTTTAGCAGCATCATATGACCCCTTTAAACGACACAGTTCTGACTATGTTCATCACAAAATAAAGTGATGCATTTTCTGTTATCATACCGACAACATCACCAACGCACTTCTTTCAACTCGTCTCTCCCACCCCCTACTGACAATGACATCCTCGGTGGCCAATCACAGTTGCCCTACTTGACATTAGGCGGGATTAAGTCACTTTTCAACCAATAACATTAAATCAAACACAACTTCTTGACACAGACATGTCTGAACAGGTAACTTTTTTATATAAAAAAAAATATAGAAACACTTCTGTCACAAGGGAAAAAATAAGTAAATAAATAAATGCTAATATTAATAATAAATGAACACAGGGTTACCTACAGTATTGTTTCTGTTGCAATAGCCCTACTGTGCTGTAACATGGTGTGGTATATGGGCAACTCTGGTAACACTGCCCTCTCATCCATTGATCTGCTAAATGCTATGTTATGCTCACGTGTTCTGATAATAATAGCTTTCCAGGACTAAACATTATTTGGATAATTGGTAAAAAAATAAAAAATAAATAAATCTCTTAATAGCACTACTGTTAGACCTACCTGAAAAACTAAAAAGCAATTTATTTATGCACAAGCTCTGCAGTTCAGTACTCCATTTTTATTTATTTAGTACATTATGCAATAGTTAGCCTTAAATCAAGCAGCTTTACAGTATTAAACATGAAAAACCAGAGTCAGTGTTGCTTTCAGTTAGAATTACAACTTGATTTTCTGTTATAAAGCAGCTCTCCAGTGTGGAGCTAGCTAATGATAAAATTGTTTTATTAGTGGGGAAAAAAACGTTTAATTAAAGTGATAGTTTGGTTTGCAGAGATCAAAGCTTGATCTAGCTCAGGACTGTTTTGATTATCATAACCCTATAAGGTATTTTAAGAGAGATAATAAAATTGTTTATCCAAAAATAAAACGTCTTATCACTTAACCTTTATTCTGTTTCTTATCCATATGACTTACAAAAATAGATTTTAGGCAGAATGATGTGTCATTCAGTTACTTTTTCATATGTTGCTTTCAGTTAGAATTACAACTTGATTTTCTGTTATAAAGCAGCTATCCAGTGTGGAGCTAGCTAATGATTAAATTGTTTTATTAGTGGGGAAAAAAACGTTTAATTAAAGTGATAGTTTGGTTTGCAGAGATCAAAGCTTGATCTAGCTCAGGACTGTTTTGATTATCATAACCCTATAAGGTATTTTAAGAGAGATAATAAAATTGTTTATCCAAAAATAAAACGTCTTATCACTTAACCTTTATTCTGTTTCTTATCCATATGACTTACAAAAATAGATTTTAGGCAGAATGATGTGTCATTCAGTTACTTTTTCATATAGCTAATTAAATGGTGAATAAGAGTTCCCTTTCAGTCGGTCACTCTCGACGTCACGTCGGATGACCGACGAATTGGGATCTCGCTTAGAGGGACCAATCTACTTCGAGTGTAAACTAAACAAGCCAATGCACATTGGCATGCGATTATTGCATCCAGCTGCTGCTGATCACAGCGTGAGTATAAGTAGGCAGCAGATGCAGCGCATATTCAGCTTTTCGCTTCGGAGCCGAGCTGTTCTATCGTTCTGCTCCTGACTTTCTGCTAAGAGTAAAGCTACAGTCGAGCACGCTCTTCGTGGGCTCTCGTGCTGGTGGACGGCGCTTCAGCGGCGGTGGTTTTCCCGTGTCGAGTGGGTTGCACACAACAGTCTGCACTACCCGTGTGTGTTGCAGACGGCCATCTCCCCTGTGCGCTTCAGCACACTAAAAGAGCAAATTCCATCTAAAAGAGCTTCACGAGTGGAACGTCTTTTTAAAGATGTTGTACCATCCGTGTGTTTCTGGGTGCAGTTGTTACCTGGCGCCGGGTGATGGTCACGATCGCTGCCTCTCGTGTCTGGGCATGAAGCACGCTGAGGTGGCTTTCGTGGATGACTCATGCTCCCATTGTGGGGGTATGACCATCTCAGAGTTGCGGACCAGACTCCGTTACCTGCAAGGGGGCGGAGTGCCCGTGCCACTGCCTAGATCTGGGGTTCCCTCTGGTGGCAGCCGGGGGCGTCCTTCTAGCGGTGGGCGGACTGGTCTTACGGTCACGGTGAGGAATTCACCTCCGGGGATGCCCAAGCCCGCCGGCACGTCGAAACCAGTGGAGCTCCCAAAAAGAGCAGGCTGGACCCTCCCGGGGGGTACCACCTGCTTCTTCCGAGGCTCCCCCCGACGACCAGATTTCTCTGGGGATGAAGATCCATCAGCGTTGTCGCCCTCTGGGCGGTCAGCGGTGCCGGATACGGACCCGGAAATGATGGCTATGCTTTCCCGGGCCGCCGAGAGTGTCGGGCTCGAGTGGAATCTTCCACCACGTCCCGAACCCTCAAGGTTGGACGATTGGTTTCTCGGGGTGGCGCGCGCTGGTTCTCAGGGCCTCCCCCCAGTGCCTTTCTTCCCGGAGGTGCATGATGAGATCGCTGGGTCGTGGACGGCACCTTTCACTGCCAGAAACCGGCCCAGTGGCTCATCCTCCCTCACCACCCTTGATGGGGGTCCAGCGCAGGGGTACGCGGGAGTTCCCCAGGTGGAGCGCTCGGTTGTGATGCAATTGTGTCCAAATGCCGCTACCACTTAGCGGGGCAAATCGTTGCTCCCCTCCCGGGCCTGTAGGCACTCGTCGGCCTTGATCGGCAGTGCTTATACGGACTGTGGAGAAGCTGCGTCCGCCTTACACGCTTCGGCGTTACTGCAAGTGCACCAGGCTATGGCACTGAGGGACTTGCACGAGGGTGGTCACGACCCGGAAGTTCTCAAAGAACTCCGCACCACGACGGGCCTCGCGCTACGAGCGACGAAGGTTACGGCGCGGTCTCTGGGTCGTGTGATGTCCACTATGGTGGTCCAGGAGCGCAATCTCTGGCTGTGTCTGGCCGACATGCGTGAGACGGACAAGACAAGGTTCTTGAACACCCCCGTGTCCCAGACAGGCCTGTTCGGCGACACGGTGGAGAACTTCGCCCAGCAGTTCTCCACTGCCCAAAAGCAGACTGAGGCTATCAGGTACAGTGGGGCAAAAAAGTATTTAGTCAGCCACCAATTGTGCAAGTTCTCCCACTTAAAAAGATGAGAGAGGCCTGTAATTTTCATCATAGGTATACCTCAACTATGAGAGACAAAATGAGAAAAAAAATCCAGAAAATCACACTGTAGGATTTTTAAAGAATTAATTGGTAAATTCCTCGGTAAAATAAGTATTTGGTCACCTACAAACAAGCAAGATTTCTGGCTCTCACAGACCTGTAACTTCTTCTTTAAGAGGCTCCTCTGTCCTCCACTCGTTACCTGTATTAATGGCATCTGTTTGAACTCGTTATCAGTATAAAAGACACCTGTCCACAACCTCAAACAGTCACACTCCAAACTCCACCATGGCCAAGACCAAAGAGCTGTCAAAGGACACCAGAAACAAAATTGTAGACCCGCACCAGGCTGGGAAGACTGAATCTGCAATAGGTAAGCAGCTTAGTGTGAAGAAATCAACTGTGGGAGCAAATATTAGAAAATGGAAGACATACAAGACCACTGATAATCTCCCTCGATCTGGGGCTCCACGCAAGATCTCACCCCGTGGGGTCAAAATGATCACAAGAACTGTGAGCAAAAATCCCAGAACCACACGGGGGGACCTACTGAATGACCTGCAGAGAGCTGGGACCAAAGTAACAAAGACTACCTTCAGTAACACACTGCGCCACCAGGGACTCAAATCCTGCAGTGCCAGACGTGTCCCCCTGCTTAAGCCAGTACATGTCCAGGCCCGTCTGAAGTTTGCTAGAGAGCATTTGGATGATCCAGAAGAGGATTGGGAGAATGTCATATGGTCAGATGAAACCAAAATAGAACTTTTTGGTAAAAACTCAACTTGTCGTGTTTGGAGGAGAAAGAATGCTGAGTTGCATCCAAAGAACACCATACCTACTGTGAAGCATGGGGGTGGAAACATCATGCTTTGGGGCTGTTTTTCTGCAAAAGGACCAGGACGACTGATCCGTGTAAACGAAAGAATGAATGGGGCCATGTATCGTGAGATTTTGAGTGAAAACCTCCTTCCATCAGCAAGGGCATTGAAGATGAAACGTGGCTGGGTCTTTCAGCATGACAATGATCCCAAACACACCGCCCAGGCAACGAAGGAGTGGCTTCGTAAGAAGCATTTCAAGGTCCTGGAGTGGCCTAGCCAGTCTCCAGATCTCAACCCCATAGAAAATCTTTGGAGGGAGTTGAAAATCCATGTTGCCCAGCGACAGCCCCAAAACATTACTGCTCTAGAGGAGATCTGCATGGAGGAATGGGCCAAAATTACATACGTAACCGAGACGTTTCTCTGCCATCTCATTTTGTGTGCCAAAATATTTATTTAATTTGTATAAATTAATTGTATAATTGTAATTAAATAATATGACTTTCAAAAGCTGAAGTGATTACCTTAATTTATTTGTTAGAATATGTATAACTCAATATTTTAAATAATTGCAAAAGATGAATAATCCAAAAATGTCTACTGATTAATCAGCGAAATAATCTATGATTAGTCAATTAATCGTTCTAATAATCGTTAGATTAATTGATTATCAAAAGAATCGTTTGTTGCAGCCCTAAATATAATATAACATAACATGACCTTTTGTTGAATGTTAAAATTTCTGTGTAGGTCCGTTGGGGAGAGAAAGGGTCCACAGAGGAGGGTGCAAGGCTAGAGATGGCCAAGAATGCAGTGGTGTCAATACAAGAGGAGACAGAAGAACCCATGATCAAAAAGCCACCCACATCCCCACACACATACCATCAATCTGAATCCAAGTGGTATACTCCAATCAGGGTGAGTCACTTCCTATTGCTGTTGAGGCCATCACCATCTTTCCTTTGCTTCCCTTTCCTCATTTTGAGTTTCAATCTAAGTCCACCTGAAAATGGCACTTTATGATATTTGATGCCTTTGCTTGAGATTAGTAGAAAGCAAACCAAGCTGAGGCCACATCTTGATATATTTGTTTCATCATAGGGTCGACTTCAGGCACTGTGGGCTCTTCTGCGGCGACAATATGACCGAGTTTCACTCATGCGCCCAACTACCGCAGATAAGGTAAGCCACAGACGGTTTACCCCAATGCAAATGGCAAACATGGTTCATCACCCTTACATACTACCAAACTAGAGCATTCCATTGCTGCAAATGGAGCATAATGGGATATCAGTCCGTGTTGTAACAGTTCAGGGGCTATTTCCTTTATTGTGTGAATGTGTGTGTGTGTTTGCGTGCATGTTACAGTGAATATGGGTGCAAGTTTCACAAACCTTAGCTGCAAAAACTCACATGTCATGAGTTCGTATTGTAGAGACTTCCTCTTTTGTAACTCTGTAATGCACTAATATGTGTGTACAAACAAGCCCTATGAATGTGCAAAAGCAACATTGAAGGGCCTTAAATTCAGCAACAGAATATGATGTTTGTTTTTATAATTTTATAAATTACACTACCAAAATTTGGGGTCTATAAAATTGTATGATTTTGTAAGAAGTCTCTAAAGCTCAGCAGAGCTACATTTATTTGATCAAACATGCAGTAAAATATTGTGAAATATTACAATAAAAAAATGTGTTATAATATATTTTAAAAACGTTTCTTAATATTGTCAATGTTAAAAAGAACAGTTTTGCTGCTTAATATTTTTGTGGAATTTTTTTCAAGATTATTAGATGAATATAAAGCTCAAAAGAACAGCATTTAATTGAAATAGAAATCTTTTGCAGCATATTAAATGCTTTTACTGTCACTTTTGATAAATGTAATGTGACCTTGCTGAATTAAAACATTAATTAACCCCAAAATTTTGAACAGTATATTAAATATGAAGTGAAATTTAGTCTTTTTATCTTCTTGTGAGACAACAATAGCCCTGAAGTAAACAGGCTTCACAAGTCGTGCTGACTATATGCACACTACAATTTAACTTTTTTTTCTAAAGAAGGGCACGGTTTGAAGCATTTGTTTGGGTTTGTTTCATCTTGAAGAAGCCCTCTGTGCATGTGAGGTGCTAGTGCTCCCATTAGCTGAAATATCCCAGTCATGCTTGAGCCACTTGTTCGGTTTTACTTTATTTCAAACAAACGGTTTAAACCTTTGAAACTCTCAATACATCTGAGAGGAGGGTCTGGAGCCTCCAAGCGGGACCCTGGCACACTTCAGTCAGACCACAGCTCGATCGTGCAGACTTTCGAGCCCTTGATCAAGTGCACTGGGTGCAGGCATGAGCTATCAAAGCCCGAGGAGTCCCTCGCCTGAGCCAAGGTGGGCCGCGCACGCACGGCTAGAGAGAGGGGGGCTTTGATGCCCGACAGGAACCCTCTGGGGTCATGAATTTTTCAGCGCTGGATCCGTGGGGTTATGAGGACTCGTACAGGTGTAAGGAAGCAGGTTGTCACGGACATCTGTTCAGCTCGGAGACCCCTCCTGGTCCCTCCCCCCACTCCACCCACAGACAGACTGTTGGATTGTCAGCAGATGTAGTTTTTTCAAGACAGCCTGAACACTTTCTGCTCTCCCATTTACCGCCTGAGGGGCTCCAACACCAAAGGTAGAGCGGAGGGTGGACACAGCTGCACTGCCGAACTTGCCTGGGGCACAAATAAAGAGATCTAATATGTTTTGACTGTGTTGTTAGGGAGACCGGGGAGCCAGAGAGGCACTTCAGAGCCAGCTTAGCGTTGCAACATCTGCCGTCAAGTTTCCGGAAAGAGCGGTGGGGGACAGCAGGTAGAGAAGGTGGCAGCGCATCAAGGGCTGGGCTATTACTGGTGGGGCTCTTTTGAACACACGCCCGCCCGCCTCTGTGTTTATCTCTCTCTCTCGCTCACGCCTCTAACTAACAGTCTTGGCAGGGCTCGGTATTGTTTTACAAAGCAGCAGTCTGCAAAACACACTAATAAGCACCTTTATAAATGATACATTAACATACATTAACCCCAGAGAGACGCCACACAAAAGCAAACTCAAGACGGGACCCGCAGAAAAGGATTTTGTTTCTTCTGGTGCTGTTGGTCTTAAAGGGATAGTTCACCCAAAAAGGACAATTCTGTCATCATTTACTCTACAATTCAAACGTTTGGGGTTGGTATGTTTTTTTTTAGTCTCTTGTGGTCACCAAGGCTGGATGTATTTAATCAAAGATACAGTAATATCTGCTGTGGGTCTTAAAGGGATAGTTCACCCTAAAAGGACAATTCTGTCATCATTTACTCTACAATTCAAACGTTTGGGGTTGGTATGTTTTTTTTTAGTCTCTTGTGGTCACCAAGGCTGGATGTATTTAATCAAAGATACAGTAATATTGTGAAATATTATTACAATATAAATTAGCTGTTTTCTATTTAACTATATTTTATAAAATGTAATTCATTCCTGTGATGGCAAAGCTGAATTTTCAGCAGCCATTACTTTGGTCTTTAGTGTCACTTAATCCCTCAGATCCGTTAGCATTTTGAAATAGAAATCTTTTGTATCATTATAAATGTCACTTTTTATTAATTTAATGCATCCTTGCTAAATGAAAGTATACATTTATATATTTTTGAATCTTATTGACCCCAAACCTTTGAACAGTAGCATATATAAAATAGGTAAATATGAAGTGATGTGTAGACAAGTGGATCATCCTTGAATATGATTTAGGATCCCCCCCCCCCCCCAAGGTACGGCACAGTTTGAAGCATTTGTTTCTATTCAAAAATTTAAATTCTGCCATCATTTTCTCATGTCGTTCCAAACCTGTATGACTCACATTCTTCTGTGGAACACAAAAGACGATATTTAAAAAAAATGTCTCCATACAATGAAAGTCAGTGGGGTCCAGTGTTGTTTTGGACCTCATTAACTTTCATTATATAGACAAACAGTTAAAATATCATCTGTTGTGTTTCACAAAAGAAAGAAAGTCATACAGATTTGGAATGGCATGAGGGTAAGTAAATGATGACAGAATTTATTTTTATGGCTTTTGTTTCCTCATTGGAGACTTCTGTAGGTGGTATGGGAGTAATGCCTTTAACTGAGGGTGATTATAGATAGGGTGGTTTTACAATATTTTCAAGACGTCGGTCAGTAGGATGATTCTTTTTTTATTTTTTTTTATTTTTGAGTAAATCCTGTATGACTCACATTCTTCTGTGGAACACAAAAGACGATATTTTAAAAAAATGTCTCCATACAATGAAAGTCAGTGGGGTCCAGTGTTGTTTTGGACCTCATTAACTTTCATTATATAGACAAACAGTTAAAATATCATCTGTTGTGATTCACAAAAGAAAGAAAGTCATACAGATTTGGAATGGCATGAGGGTAAGTAAATGATGACAGAATTTATTTTTATGGCTTTTGTTTCCTCATTGGAGACTTCTGTAGGTGGTATGGGAGTAATGCCTTTAACTGAGGGTGATTATAGATAGGGTGGTTTTACAATATTTTCAAGACGTCGGTCAGTAGGATGATTCTTTTTTTATTTTTTTTTATTTTTGAGTAAATCAATCCTCATTTTCTCTCTGGTTTCAACTCCCACACTCACTTACTCAGGCCAAGTCAATACTGTCAGATGTTTTGAAGCCAAGGAAGGCTCAATGTGTAATACAAGGCAATATTTGCAGATTTAGCACCAATGGCCCCCCACACCCCCAGAAAGCATTGTTCAAGACGTATAATGTCCCTTTAGCGTAGCCTCTGCATACATTAAATCCTATTAAAATCAGTCTCTAACACATACCTTATTAGCCCATGCCGACTGCTTGCCTCCTTAGGGTAGTGCTGTAATGAGGTGGAGTGTATTTTTAAATGGTGTAAATTCTGACCTTAGACAAATAAAACATGTCAACTCGCAGTCCCGAGGCCTAGCGCTCATAGAGGAACTCGCCCTGGCAAAAATAAATAAATACAAATGTACTGTTGCGGCCCAGTGTGACAGCATCTTAATTTAACAGTCAACGGTCACATAAACAGAGCAGTGGGAGCATTTTAATTAAGAGACTGTGAGCGGGCGGCACGACAGGGCCAGCTCTTGAAGAATGCCATTAGAGGAGGCAGGAGAGAAGAAGAGAGGGAGGCAACGCTGGCATGGAGAAATAGCAACGGGGTAGAGGACGAAGGAGAGAGTGAGAACGGGAGAGAGATTTAAGGCTCTAAGCTGGTGGACCGGGTCCCTCAGGTCGGAGCCACACATGGCCAGGCTTAGCCGCAATAGTGTTTAGGAGCCCAGTCTCATGACTGGATTAGGGCGCGGAGCGGCAGACCGCGAACTGTTTGTGTTTTACCCCGGGAGCCAAGAGAGCGAACAGTGTCCTAATGAACTAGCAAGGCCAGTATAAAGTGGGTCTGGTTGCTGTAGTGAGGGACAACTGCCTAATGAGCAGAACTGAGCTGCACTGAACAGATCAGCAATACAGCAGCCGTCAGAAATGTGGTTTGTTTGGCACTAGGTAGAAGCAGCATCATTTAGATATGTGATATCTGTGTTGCCTTTCGAGATCTTATGTGTGATTTTTGTGCAATGTTAAAATACTTTTTCTTATTCCAGAGACAAGTATGAAGCCATTTTTAGGCTGATTTCCCTAAAATGTGTAAATACTTTAACTCTTTGGTGAACAAAACATTTCTGCAAAAAATAATTTTGTTAATCAGACTTTTTTTTATGTGAAATATCTAAATATTCTTTAAATGAGATTGTTTTTAATAAGCAAATCAAATACTGTAAAAACTTTGATGTTAATATCTGATATTAAGATATTAAGACTTATTTTCAGACAGTATATCTTAAATTAAGTTTATTTTTATTGCCTAATTTTCAAATTGTAGTTTTCTTCTTCTAAGTATAAATCTACCTATATTTAGTGAAGTTTATACTTAAAACAAAGACAAGAATGTGAGAAGAAGAAAAAAAAACTTTTTAAAATAACAAATAATAATAATCATCTAAAAATTGTTTTGCTTAATGGATGTCTATATATTTTTACTGGAAAACAAGAAAATATTGAAAATACGAGTTGCTGCAAATAAATAAAATAAAAATCAGTTTCGTTGGTTTTTATTTTAATTTGTAT